GGTAAAAATCGAATTTGCGCAAAAAAATTTTTCAAATTCAATTTCTTCTACATACATGAACATNATCGAATTTGCGCAAAAAAATTTTTCAAATTCAATTTCTTCTACATACATTAAAATATTCAGCCTCATTGCGAGAGTCGTGCCGCNTGTATACGTAAGTTTTTGTTTTTTCTGATAAAACCAAAAAACTACTTAAATTGAATGTGTTAAAACTATTTTCCAATAAATTTTTGGAAAATTATACAAAATAAAATTGTTTAATACAAAAATGTAACAACTGTGTTTCATTAAAATCATATTTTCTCCCGTATTTTTTTTCTTTAAGGAGGTGAAGAAGGTAAAAATCGAATTTGCGCAAAAAAATTTTTCAAATTCAATTTCTTCTACATACATGAACAGATTGCTAAGGCACGCAAAAATGCACTGTAGGTAATTACACTGCGCATGCCGGAAATTTAAGTTGACCCACTTCCGCAAAGATTGCGTTGCATACTTTAAGGCGCCGGAAGTGTGAAATTTTGCCTACGTGACACCCTGTTTCCACAAAATCTCTGCCGCTTTCTGGACACTTCTGTGCGCCTGGTGCAATCGGGGAATTTAGCGATTTCGCAGCGCAACCGAGGTGACCAGATGCAAAAAATAACAATTTAAGAAATGGCAAGAACCAATACGAAAATTGAAAAGCAGCTTTTGCAAATAAATTAAATTTTATTTTTTTATAAATATATTTTAAATATAAATATTTTGCTTAAAGGTGCTTATTATTACTTTTATTTATATTTTATCGCCTGCGTCACACAGACATGGTGTGCTCAAGGAATGGATCGCTAAAATCGATAAACTGGAGGGCGGCATGGATACATTCTCACAGGGCTANATTGCTAAGGCACGCAAAAATGCACTGTAGGTAATTACACTGCGCATGCCGGAAATTTAAGTTGACCCACTTCCGCAAAGATTGCGTTGCATACTTTAAGGCGCCGGATGTGTGAAATTTTGCCTACCTGACACCCTGTGTCCACAAAATCTCTGCCGCTTTCTGGACACTTCTGCGCGCCTGGTGCAATCGGGGAATTTAGCGATTTCGCAGCGAAACCGAGGTGACCAGATGCAAAAAATAACAATTTAAGAAATGGCAAGAACCAATACGAAAATTAAAAAGCAGCTTTTGCAAATAAATTAAATTTTATTTTTTTATAAATATATTTTAAATGAATATAAATATTTTGCTTAAAGGTATTTATTATTATTTTTAATTATATTTTATCGCCTGCGTCACACAGACATGGTGTGCTCAAGGAATGGATCGCTAAAATCGATAAACTGGAGGGCGGCATGGATACATTCTCACAGGGCTACAAACACTATGGCCTACACTTTCAGCCCGATAACTCGGTGATTGCGCGCGAATGGGCGCCAGGTGCGCAGCAAGTTTATCTCACTGGCGATTTTAGTGAGTTGTTGCGGTTGTAGCATTCCGTCACGTTCTGTTTTTGAATTTTCTGTATTCTTTCCCGCTTTTCCATCTTCTCTCCCGCAGACGATTGGCAATGGGAGGCGCATCCTTACAAGAAGCTCGAATTTGGCAAATGGGAATTGCATTTGCCCGCCAATGCCGATGGCAGCGCGCCTATCAAGCACCTTAGCGAAGTAAAGGTGATCATACGCAACCAGGCCGGCCAGCTGTTGGATCGCCTCTCACCATGGGCCACTTATGTGCGGCAGCCACCCAAGGAGGCCAATCAAGGCGTCAACTACAAGCAGTATGTATGGAATCCACCGCCAGCAGAGCGTTACTTCTGCAAGCAGCCCCGACCTAAGCGTCCCAAATCATTGCGCATCTATGAGTGCCATGTGGGCATTGCTTCGCAGGAGCCGCGCGTCGGTTCATATCTAAATTTCGCCGAGAACATAATACCGCGCATCAAGCGTCAAGGTTACAACGCCATACAGGTCATGGCCATCATGGAGCATGCGTACTATGCTAGTTTTGGCTATCAAGTGACAAGTTTCTTTGCCGCCTCCAGCCGCTTTGGCACGCCTGAGGAGCTGAAGCGCATGATCGATGTAGCGCATGAACATGGCTTATATGTACTGTTGGATGTGGTGCATTCTCATGCAAGCAAAAATGTACAGGATGGCTTGAATCAATTTGATGGAACCAATTCGTGTTACTTCCATGATGGCGCGCGCGGCGAGCATGCGCTTTGGGATAGTAGGCTCTTCAATTACGTGGAGTATGAAGTATTGCGCTTTTTGTTATCAAATTTGCGTTGGTGGCATGACGAGTACTTCTTTGATGGCTATCGGTGAGTAGGGGATGAAGAAAGAAACTGTATTTAATTTTAATGCATGCCTGATTTTATGTTGTCTAAATACTTAACTAGTTTTGATGGCGTCACCTCAATGTTGTATCATTCGCGCGGCATTGGTGAAGGCTTCAGCGGAGACTACAATGAATATTTTGGCCTGAATGTTGACACAGATGCGTTGAACTACCTGGCATTAGCCAATTATATGCTGCGCACACAAAATTCAGAGGTCATCACCATAGCAGAGGTAAGTTTTCGCTTTTGGATATAAATGCTTTGTTAATAAAAGAACTTATATTTTTGGCGCGCCACGATAGGACGTCTCCGGCATGCCTACACTCTGCCGACCGATCGAGGAAGGTGGCATCGGCTTCGATTACCGTCTAGCCATGGCCATACCTGACAAGTGGATTGAACTGCTGAAAGAGCACACCGATGACACCTGGAATATCGGCAACCTTGTGCATACGCTGACCAATCGCCGCTGGAAGGAGAACACAGTCGCCTATGCGGAGTCGCACGATCAGGCGCTGGTGGGTGACAAAACGATCGCTTTCTGGCTGATGGACAAGGAAATGTACACGCACATGTCTACCTTATCGGAGCCGTCATTGATCGTCGATCGCGGTATTGCGCTGCACAAAATGATACGTTTAATAACTCACTCACTGGGCGGCGAAGCATATCTGAATTTCATGGGCAATGAGTTTGGCCATCCGGAGTGGCTGGATTTCCCACGTAAGGGCAACAATGATTCCTATCATTACGCCCGTCGCCAATGGAATTTAGTTGATGACCCTTTACTGAAGTACAAATTTTTAAATGAATTTGATCGTGCGATGAACGAGCTGGAAGAGCGTTTTGGCTGGCTGCATTCAGACCCGGCCTATGTGAGCTGGAAGCACGAAGGTGATAAGGTGATCGCATTTGAGCGTGCTGGCTTGGTGTTCGTATTCAACTTCCATCCGACGCAAAGCTTCACGGGATATCGCGTCGGCACAAATTGGGCGGGCACATATCAAGCGGTTTTGAGCTCGGATGATGACCTCTTTGGTGGACACAACCGCATCGACAAGAATTGCAAGCATTTTACGCGACCTGAAGGCTACGCCGGACGAGAGAATTTCTTTGAGGTGAGTAATAAGGCGATGGCTACCTTTAAAAAGATCAAGAAAATTTTTTATGAAATATTGGAAAAAGATGCGAAATTAAATAAGAAAATTGGTAAAATATAAAATATAAAAATTTAACTTTGATATGCCCGTATACAGGAAAGAGACAAAAAAGCCTCATAAATATTTATGAGATTTATAAATGTAATATTTAATTGAATTATAAAAAAACCTGACGTATTAATTTACCTGTAAATTTCTCATAACTTCTTGCAGGTTTATACACCATCTCGTACAGCAGTGGTCTACGCACATGCCAGTGACTAGGTACCAGCAGTCTGACGCCTTATGATAAGCCATGCGCCATACTCATATTTTAGTAGTTGTGCTAAGTTACAATACAATTTGTTTTAGTGAAAAAAATTGTACAATAAGCGAGAAAAGTGAATACAAATTTTCTATTAAAGGTAGAGATTATGAAAATATCCACAGAAAATCAATTCTTTCATTTATATGAATCATACGTACACAAAAATGCACAAAAGTTAGAATTTAGATACCGATTTTACGAGTTAAATATTTATTAATTTTTTTTGCGAGTGTTAAAGTTAAGGCGTGTCGTAGCATCTTATTATANTATATGAATCATACGTACACAAAAATGCACAAAAGTTAGAATTTAGATACAGATTTTACGAGTTAAATATTTATTAAATTTTTTTTGCGAGTGTTAAAGTTAAGGCGTGTCGTAGCTTCTTATTATACACAAATAATAGATTTTTTAATACATAACGATCACTTAAACTTTAAGTCTTAAAGCGATGAACTTGTTCTAGCAAGTATTTACGACTGAATGTACAAAATGCACATTTTATTTCGAAGCGCTACCAAACAATAAAAAATAAATTATTTTTGGCTTATATAACTTGAACACATACATATGTTTTCATTAGGCATATGTATGTATAAAGGATATGTTGCATCTGGCTTTGGTTCTTGAACATGATTCTTTCCTGTTAGTATGTATATTCCAGGTGTGGAATGTGCATGAGCTTATAATATAGAGATATTTTAACATTAAGAATTTTATAAAAATGACAAAAAAGGATTATATTTTATACTATAGTAGAGAACAATGAAATTTGGTATTAAAAATTAAACAATTTATAGAATTTATAGTTGGCTGAGTTTTAAAGTTTACTGTTCTATTTTTCAAAAGTGTGAATGCACATTCCAATTGTTTCATAAGAGAATAGAAAATATACAAATAAAGAGGAAGTACTTCCTTAGTCACAAATTTTCGTAACGTCATTCCTGGATGACAATAATTTCAAATACTTATCTGCTTTATAAATTAATAGTTGTAGTAGTAGTTTTCACCTTAATACAAATCAGTTTAACATATTAAAACAAATATACTGAAACATTCTGCTGCCTTAAAACGTAACCATTTGATTCTAAGTACCCCTAAGGCCCTTGGCGTACTCATTTGTTCACTAATGGACTAAAAAAAAGAGAGCAATTTACAGAANTTTAACATATTAAAACAAATATACTGAAACATTCTGCTGCCTTAAAACGTGTCCATTTGATTCTAAGTACCCCTAAGGCCCTTGGCGTACTCATTTGTTCACTAATGGACTAAAAAAAAGAGAGCAATTTACAGTACCTCATTAGTCACACTTTCGATAACATCAAACGCATGGTTGATATCATTATCGGTAAGCAAACGATTCACGGTAATACGAATACTATGACGTATAGTGTGCTTTTCCAAATTCTCCAGATAACGCGACTCAATGACTGCAACACCACGGGTAATGCACTAATGATAAATTCCAAAAAAGATTGGTTCAAGAACTAGTAGGTAAAATAACATCCAGAGCTTATATTCAATATCCTCTATATGTAATTTTCCCACTGACAGTAAATATGACCTTGCAATTTATTAGTAAATTTTTCTGTCAGCGTTATACAAAGTCACCGATAACAGTTAAGCAGTGGATTTTTATACATATCAGAATCTAATTTTTGTGAAAAGTGCACATAGAGGGTATTGAATATAAGTCCTCGATATTGATGTGTGAAAATACCTTATTGGCTATTTCGGTAAGCAACTCGCGTTCCATATCCGCATTCTCACGTTGTTCGGCGATGTACAAATGCTTGACAGGTGAAAGTTCGCTACCGTGCAATTTTAATTTTGATAATTTACCAAATACTTCCTGCACTTTGCCCGATATTACCTGTAGCTCTGTAAACATTTTTGGCTGACTTTCGAAGCGATCCAGTGCTGAGATTGCTGCTTGTGTTAATAATGGTGGCAGTGAAGCAGAGAAGCAATAACCAAGGCCGGAGAGCCGCTGATGTTCTACAATGAAGTGAGACCCCACGCAGAAGCCGCCGATTGTTGCTAGAGAATTTTCCATGCCGGCCATAATTAGGTCGACTTCTATTAGCTGTAAAAGAAGAGAGAAAGCGCTTACAAAAGAAACGAGTTTATGTTCGCGCTTTACTTACATCGACATTAAAGTGCTCCGTGAGACCGTGACCAGTTTTGCCAAGCGTGCCAAAGGAAATACTTTCGTCAAGAAACAAGCGTAACTTATATTTGGCACGCAGCGCAACTAAAGTGGGAAGAGGGCATATTTCGCCAGTGTTCATGTAAATACCTTCGGCAACCAGGAAACGGCGAGTCTTAGCGGCTTTCTTTGGATTCTGCACTTAAAAAAAACCACTAGATATCAATACGTCATTTGAGTATTATATCAACTAGCAAACCTTTACATCACGCCTTTGCTGTTCGATTAGCAAGCGCTCCAAATCGGTCATATCATTGTGTTTGTAGTAATATATTGTGCTACGCGATGCATCCAAACCTTTTTGTATAGAAAAATTAACTTTTTCATCGCTTTAAAATGCATAAAAGTGTTAGAGAAATATAGCTTAATTTTTAGCTCAATTTTTCTTACGCAAAAATTACATCCCCACGCTTTGAATACGCTGGTATAGCACTTGCTATAGTAGAAAATCCATAAGAATATACCACCGCCTCTTCCATACCCATAAACTTTGCCAAACGATCCTCCAAATCCAAATGCACGTCCATTGTTCCGTAAAAACCACGTGGTCCACAAGAGCCCACACCATACTTCTTTATAGCCTTACAGGCATCATCTAATATTTTTTCGTCTTCCAGTAAACCTAAATAATTATGTGTTGCCAAATTAAGACAATCGTGCCCATCAACGACTACACGTTTGCCAACTTTTGATTGTACCAAGCGTGTTTTCAGCAGCGGATGAGTTGGATCGGTCTCAGCTACGAGCGGCTCCGGTTGGTATTTAGATATAATTTCTTCTTCTTCCTCTTTGCTATAACGTTTATCACGCCCATTGCGTTTGACAAGCAACAACCATATAACCGAAAGTAGTAAAAAAGCTTCCAATACAATTACAAAGAGTGGTGTCTGAAAACAGAGGATACATTTATGAAAATGTAGTTTACATAAAGTATGCATATGAGCTTACATTTTGGAAAATTAGCTCGATTTCGTTAAATAAATAAGGTATAGCCACCATGTTGCCGATGCTATCAGGCGAAAATTTTTAATAATTGAAAAATCGATTTAAACTTTTCCGCCCAATAAACATTAGTTTCCTTGTATGATGAATGCGTCATGCACCTGACGACGGAAAGTGTATATCGAAAAGCAATTTCCACACTTGTTCGAGTGATAAGATTAATTTATGGGTTTCTTTCAACTCAACTGCCAATCCCAAGTCCCGATCAACATTGAGATGGTACACTCGTGGCACATTTACGCACCTGCTACTAATAACTGACTTTAAATTGTGGTACTTGCGCAGTTTTACTTAACTATTAAATTAAATTAGCACACTTTTCCTCTAAAATACCAAGAAAATAAATACAACACATGTAAATTCACGGCGTGCAAAGATAAATGGCTAATTGTAAAATATCGTAACGCCAGAATGAAATGTCAGATCATGTCAGGTGTTTTTTTGCCAACACCTACAAAGTGCTGCCCTCCTGTTTCAAATTTTTAATTGACTTTAAGAACCTGACACCCGGTTTACATGATGTGAAGTACTTGAAGCAATTCTTGCTTTCTCTTTTGTGTTCTTGATTTCACACGCTTCAATTCAGTAAATTAAAGTTTTTGGTTCTTTTAAATGGGAAACAACGAAAATGTCGAGAGCAAGCAAATTATTTTCAATAGTCGAAATACACCGAACAGCTGCTTACTTGCTGGTTTCTGCAAGTTTTGCGTTTCTTTACTTTTTCTTTAATTCACTCTGTGTGAGCGTAATTCCCTAAATTTTGCCATTCTTCTTCTTTCTGATAAGCAGGGTGTCCAGAGTGTTTAAAAAGAAAAGTGCCTTTACAGAAAAAATGGCCAATTTTTTCTTTTGATAAAATTCATGAAATCGGTTTAAAAAATCTTTTTTTTTAAAAATGAGATCTTGTTAACATAGTTTTTAAAACCAAAAAAAAAAAACNTCAGGTGTTTTTTTGCCAACACCTACAAAGTGCTGCCCTCCTGTTTCAAATTTTTAATTGACTTTAAGAACCTGACACCCGGTTTACATGATGTGAAGTACTTGAAGCAATTCTTGCTTTCTCTTTTGTGTTCTTGATTTCACACGCTTCAATTCAGTAAATTAAAGTTTTTGGTTCTTTTAAATGGGAAACAACGAAAATGTCGAGAGCAAGCAAATTATTTTCAATAGTCGAAATACACCGAACAGCTGCTTACTTGCTGGTTTCTGCAAGTTTTGCGTTTCTTTACTTTTTCTTTAATTCACTCTGTGTGAGCGTAATTCCCTAAATTTTGCCATTCTTCTTCTTCCTGATAAGCAGGGTGTCCAGAGTGTTTAAAAAGAAAAGAGCCTTTACAGAAAAAATGGCCAATTTTTTCTTTTGATAAAATTCATGAAATCGGTTTAAAAAATCTTTTTTTTTTAAATGAGATCTTGTTAAAACATAGTTTTTAAAACCAAAAAAAAAAAATAAATATAATGCCTTCAAGGTAATAGTAAATAACACAAATCACAGTATACAGTAAACCAGCAGTTGACAATATGCTTATTTGAAAATTAATACATGAAATATTGTGCATGTATAGGATTATTTTGTCATTAACCCATAGGAAATGACTGGTGCAAAAGTACCCCAAAATGTTTGTTGATATATTTGAAATGTAAACTTTAACAACGACNGGATTATTTTGTCATTAACCCATAGGAAATGACTGGTGCAAAAGTACCCCCAAATGTTTGTTGATATATTTGGAATGTAAACTTTAACAANTAGACAGATTTCACCAAAATTTAATACTAACCTAAATTATACCAAAGGCATCTTCGGCACCGATTCTCGTTAAAATATCTAAATTTTGTTCGAGTTAGCGTGTTTACAAACAGACACAACTGAACTGAATATTTTGATAAATATGTATTTAAGAATATGTGTATATACATTTTATACCGTTGAAAAACGGCCTTGCTTATCTGCATAAACCTTTCCTGCATTAGTTCAAGCGTCGATATATAACTTTGGGTACATATTTCATAAAAACTTTATAGGTCGCCACTATAAGAGTGGTATATTTGAAAATTAGAGAGTTCTACCTTTAAGCTAAGTAATACTTGTTTTACCCCCTAATTTATGGGTTCATTTTCCAAAATCAGTCCACCATTATTCACTCAAAGTTGTGTTTGGAACCAGATATGACTTATGTAGGAACTGCATAATCGCTTACGCTGCAAGCCTGATTTGCTAGGAATTTTGTTTTTCTCGTTGTTTTATTTTATGTGACTTGAAAATATTTTCCACTATAAGAAAATATTGAAATTGGACTTCATTTGGGTTAACGAAAACGACAACTGTGAAAAAATATCAACCAATACATTCAAATAAATTGTCAAATAAGCATATTTACAATTTTTGTTTTGCCTATCTGGATTACTGTATACTGTGAACACAAATAACTTATTCCCCTTTCAGACACGTCAAGTCTTGCTTTCATGTCTGCTCGTTCGTAGGCGAAGGAGGTGAGAAGAGAGGGGAACACTACAGATACCTCCGTACCGTCAATTCGTTTCAAGTTTTCTTGTCTCGTTTGATCTTTTCGTTGCTTCCCATTTAAAGACCCAAGGACTTGAATTCAATTAAAGTTGACGCGTGTGGAAGCAAATAGAAAACACAAAAGAGAATGCGAAAAAAATTGCTTTAAAGACTTGACGTGTCTGAAAGGGGACTTATATGATAGTGATGTACTCATGATTCAATCATGAACGAAAGACACAAGATCACGCCTTCCCGAAAGAAAGAAAAAAGTTATTTTCTAGCTGTTGAAATCTCGACGCCATCTTTGTTGTAAGAAGTAAACGAAGAGAACAAAAAAAAAAACCGCGTTATTGTTGAACGCATGAATAAGCATTTTTATTATGCAAATTCTTCTATAAATCATGTCGTTGTGTTAAATTATTTTTTACCTTATGTGTGCACACGTTGTCACAAGCGAAAATTAAGAAAGTTGCAGTAAAAAGTAACCACCAAAATGTAAACAACGAACAAATGTAAACAAACGGCTAATGTCAAAGTCGCCCAACTTTTTTCCTAAATGCGATTATAACGGGCCACTAAGAAGAAGGCGTGATCTTGTATTTTTGGTTCATGTGATTCAATAATTAAAGGTTTGCTCATTAGAGACATTCGAGTTTTGACACTCCCTTACAAAAGGTTGCACACACACACGCACCCACACGCTAAGAGAGCCGAATTTGTCAAGAGGGAGCGAGAAAACTGATGTGCAAACAATTTTCTTAAAAAATATTCATACTTTTAAAAAATATTTGTATTAACACATTTCCCAATAGGACTGCGCAATTAATTAATTTATTATAACTCATATTAATTGATTAATCGCACAAAATAAAATAAATGCTATAATGAGGCGAGATTAGTGTTGTTCCGATACGAGTAACTACAAGTAACCCTGTCGGAAACAACAACAACCAAAAAGGAAATAATTACTCGATACTTTCTTCAAGTACTGAGTACTTTTTGTACTCGAATCCTTCCCGCAAGTACTTAGGTGGGTATCGAGTACGCGATTAAAGTATTACTTGCTTTTCCAAAAATTCTGAATTTCGGTTCTGACAATATATGAATCATGCTGTTGTGGTTTTTGCACCATGTTAAGTTGGCTAATAAAGAAAGTGTAAATTCCTGCTTTCCCGTACTAGTCAATTATTAAAATTTTGCAAGATACAAACTTGTGGCTACCTTTTCGGTAAGTTTTGGTCGGAGAGTACTCGAACCGATTCTGTTTTTCTTCACATGACATAAGTATTTACAATGAGTTCGATATGAGTAAGTATCGAGTACTTCTCTCCGATACATTTGTGGCATCGATACTTTTCTTCAATATTTTTGAAGAGTACAGGTATCGAGTAAAGGTCGTATCGGAACAACACTAGGCGAGATCGGCAATTTCCACTTTGAAATTGCAAATTCCGCATCCAGCGGGAGTTTTCAGAAATGGTGGTTTAATTGAGCCCTTGATTTTGAAAGTGGTATAAGTCACTTCGCTCCTCTTGTACTTTAATGACCGTTTACCTGTATTTGGACGCGTCGGTTTGTTGTTCAATTTCATCAACCAAAAGTAAGAAGGTTTTATCATTAGTTTATGACGATAGAAAGGTTTGCACATGCATTCGGTTACAAGTAAGCGGTCATTTAGTTACAAAAGGTATGAAGTGACTTATATCACTTTCAAAATCAAGGGTTCAATTGGCAAATGTTCGATATGCTACAACAAAATCGATAACAATTAAGTGTTGCCACATCAAAATTATGTTATTATATTATGTACTTAGCTATGAAGTGCCATATTGAGGATGAAAAAGTGCCAAAGTGTGCCTAATAGAAAAATAAAAGTGCCACAAAAGGTGCTAATCTTTTTAACTCCTCCCATTTAGCATTAAAATTAGAAACACATTCTTAAAACAAAAGTCCAATACCAAGGTAAGATAAGCCAGTTGCATACACTTTAGAAATTAGAAAATTTTAGTTGAGAAAAAGGAGTACACGCAAATGTATTGAAATATTACTATTTTTCAAAAGTGCCATTTTGGCACTTTTTGCCAAATTGAAAAATTAAGTGCCATTTACAGGTCTATTCTGCGCTGGTAATAAAAAGTTTGTAACCGGTAAATAAAGTTCCTGTCAATTTCTAAACCCTTTTCGCATTCTGTGTACTCTTATAGCCGGTAAATTTTGTTACGATCTCATAAGCTGGTAACAAAGTATTGCCCCGTGAAATATGCAATGCTAGAATTTGCACAATTCTTCATAGCTGAATTGCTGAAAACTTTAACTGCATTACCAACGTTCCTAGAATCGCGGTGACAAAAACTGGTAAAATTTTTTGGTAATAAAAATTTCCGGTTACAAAATTTTCGGTAACGTGCAGAATAGACCTGTTAAGGTAAAATAGGGCCAACTATGACACGGTTTGGGCTAAGTTGGCAGCCCTGATGGTGAGAACCCGCTTTTTTAGGTATAGCACATGATTCAATAATAAAAGGTTCCACGATTGAGAGAATACAAAGGTTGCGCCGATCTCGGACCGCTATTCCTCTCTTAACGAATTTGACAGAATCGTTGTTTGCATGACGTCACACTGGTGCAACTTGTTGTCTCTGTTGACAGTTGTCTCTCTCGAAT